GCCGCGGGGCGCGCGGCGCGGCGCTCACCGCCTGGCGCGCCGGCGCCCGCTGGAAGGCCCACGTGAAGCTCGTGCTGGCGTTGCGCTCCACCACGTAGCTGTACGACTGCCTGCCCTGCGCGCCCGTCCACGTCTCCACCGGCGTGTTGGTGCGCGCGTTGACGCCCTGCGGCCACGGGGACAGCGTGGTGGCCCTGCGGTGCCCGCGGCGCCCGCCACCGCCGCCGCCGGCCCTCACCACCATGAAGTAGAGCTGGCAGCCGGCGCTGCACACGGTCTCGAAGACGAAGGTGACGCGGGCCAGCTCCTCGCCGGGCGCCGGGGCGCTGCGCACACGACCGCGGCGTCGGGGACTGCGCGGGTGCCACCCCTGTTGCCACCGCCGCTGCCGTCTCACCTGAAGCCGTCCACGAGCAGCGTGAGGATCATGAAGTCGTTGTCGGAGGCGCCCGCCGCCGTGTACACGTGGTCACCGGCCACCTCCCAGCCTGCGGGCGAGCGGCGGGTGCGCTGAGGGGGTGCCCAGCACCGTGGACCTGTCAGCGCAGGTGCCCGCGGCGGGCGCCTACCCGCCATGCCCTTGTACTCGAAGTTGACGCCGCTCAGCACCGTGCTCTCCATGTTGGCAGGCAGCACGTTCCACCACTTGTACTCGAGCCCCAGGGCCGGCTCGGTGCCCGGCGGGCAGGGGGTGCAGCCTGCGGGGAGCGGGCACGGCGCTGCACGGGGCACGCGGCCGCGCCGCCACCGGGGTCCCGCGCCGCCCGCGCCGCCACCGCCCTACCGGAGCCGTTGGAGTAGGTGCCATAGGGGCAGGGCTGGCAGGCGCTGCCGTTGCTCTTGAAGAAGCCGGGGTTGCAGGGGGGGCACTTGCTCCTCACGCCCGAGGGTGGCAGCTGGGCCGCCCCGGGCAGCTCCTCGCTGCAGATCTTGGGCTCGGCCCACTTGAACATGAGCTGCGTCTGCGGCGGCGACGGCGATGCTGTGCGCTGGGCGGCACCGGCCCCGCAGCCCGGCCCCCGGTGCCCTGTCCCCACGCCCTGTCCCCCTGTCACCCCATCCCTGCGGCTCCCTATCCCCACAGCCCATCCTACTGTTGCCCCGTCCCCACGGCTCCCTGTCCTCGTGGTGTCCTGTCCCCGTGGCCCATCCCCATGGCACCCTGTCCCCACGGCACTGTTCCCGCAGCGCCCTGTCCCCACAGCCCATCTCTGTGGCACCCTGTCCCCATGTTGCTCCATCCCTACGGTGCCCTTTCCCCACATCGTGCCATCCCCATGGCACCCTGTCCCTGCAGCCCGTCCCCATGACACCCTGTCCCCACGGCTTGCTGTCCCCACGGCTCCTTGTGTCCACAGCACCTTGTCCCCACAGCGCCCTATCCCCACATTGCCCCGTCCCCGTGACACCCTGTCACCACGGCTCCTTGTGTCCACAGCGCCTCATCCCCACAGCACCCTGTCCCCACGTTGCTCCGTCCCTGCGACACCCTGTCCCTGCGGCACCCTGTCCCTGCGGCACCCTGTCCCTGCGGCACCCTGTCCCCGCAGCGCCCCGTCCCCGCGGCCGCCCTGTGCCCCGCTACCTCCTCGTTGCCGTCGCAGGCGCTGTGCGTGGAGAAGTAGTCCTCGGGCGTGCAGGGTGGGCGCTGCTTGCAGGCGGCCGAGCCGGGCTCTGCGGGCGGGCAGCGGCTGAGCGGGGCGCGGTGCCCTGTCCCCCCCGTGGTGGCAGTGCCCCCTCACCCGCGTAGGCGCCGCGCTCGCAGGGCTGGCACGCCGTGGCACCCCGGCCCGCGGCCGTGTCGGCGGGGCACGGGCGGCAGGACGAGGAGCCGGCGGCGGCGGCGAAGGAGCCCGGCTTGCAGGGGAAGCACTCGGAGGTGTAGGCGACGCCTGCGGGTGCGGGGCGGCGGTGAGGGCGGGCGCGGGGCCCCGCGGCGTGCCGCCCGCGCGCACCCACCGGTGACGGCCACGTTGCGCAGCAGCACGGGCTTGGGCACCCTGGCCCACACGGAGAAGGCGGTGGTGCGCCAGTAGAGCACGTTGTTGCCGCGGTTCAGCTCCACCTGCGCACGGCCAGGGCACCGTGGGCCCCGGCGCTGGGGGCACCGGCCCGTGTGCCCCCCACCCTCTGCCGCTGCCCCCACTCACGCTGTGCAGCGCCCAGCCCTGGTCGCTCGTGCGCATCCAGCGCGACTCCTCGGCYGCCGGCTGGCACTGGTCGTTCTGCACCTGTGGGGCCGGGCGGGCGGCGGGGGGACACGGCCGTGGCCCCCGCGCCGCCCTCGCCCCCCGCTGCCCCTCCCCAGGGACCCTCCTCCTCCTCCAGCCCCTAGGATGGCCGTGTCCCCATTCCCCCTCCATCAGCCCCTGTCACCTTCCGGGAGGACCGTGTTCCCCAGCACCTTCATCCCCTGACCCCCCAGGATGGCCGCGTCCCCCTGCCCCCTTCACCCGTCCCCCTTGCTCCCCCATCACCCACCAGGACGGCCACAACCCTCTGCCACCCTCCGGCACCCCCGGGCACCTACGAAGAACTCGAAGACGATGCTGCTGTCGGGGTAGATGTACTCGAAGGAGACGGTGCCCGACTGCTTGAGGTTCACGGCGTACATGAGCGTGGCCGTGCACTCATCCGTGTTGGACGCGATGTAGTCGCCCAGCGGCACCCACGTGGACCTGCGGCGGGCAGCACCGCGGCCGTGGGCGCCGGCGCGGGCGCAGTGCAGTTCCCCCCGCCCCGCCGCACTCACGCCGTGCAGTTCTCCACCGAGTCGCCGAAGCTGTCGTCGAGCTCCAGGTTGGTGGCGACATTGGCGAAGCCGCGGGGCAGCTCGTCCCACTCGTCGAAGCGCACGCCGGTGCCCAGCGAGTAGGTGCCCGCGGCGCAGGGCTGGCACGTCTGCGCCTTCATGTCCAGGAACTCGCCCGCCTTGCACGAGAAGGCTGCGGGCGGCCGCGCGGCCTCAGCGCCCTCYGGGGCCCCGCGCGGGCATGGGGCACCGCGAGCCGCCGGCACCCGCTGCCTTACAGCACTCGGTGCCCCGGACGGGGTCGGGCAGGCCGGTGCAGAGCCCCGGCGTGTGGGGCACGGCCACCCTCCAGCGCGCTCCCGAGCTGTCGCACGCCGTGTACTCATAGTGGTACTCGGACTGCAAGGGGAAAGGGGGCAGCCGGTGGCACCGGGGCCACCTGGGTCGCCAGCCCCGTCCCCTCTGACCTGCAATTCCTGCCTTTATGGATTTCCCTGGATGGGGGGAAAAACGGGCTCTGCCACCCCTGGGTCACCCCAACGCGCCCTGCCGCCCTGGTGGCATCGCCCGGGGGACACGTGGGACACTGGAGCGCAGGGGCAGGACCCGCGCGGGTGCCCCCGCTCGGGCGACGTGGCGCGTGCACCGGGGCTGGCGGCACCGCGGGCGGGGCCCATCCGACAGGTTTCCCAGCGCTGCCGGATGCTCCGTCCGGCTCGGGGCGGCCGTGCCCGGGGGGRCAGCGCGGCGGGGAGGGGGCAGCGTCAGGGCGGCCCCCCCGGCGCCGCCTGCAAACCGAGCGCTGCTCAAGGCCGGCGGAGGCCACGCAGCAACTAATCCCCGTCGAGGCCGCGGCGGCTCCGGCGGGAGCGGAGGCCGCCTGCCCACGGGGGCCCTGGCGCTGCCACCGTCCCTGTCCCCACC